CATCCCATGGAATCAATCTGTCTCAGCCATACCTTATCTCCTTGATAAGAGGAATTTCTCTGGGGAAGAACAACATCAATGTGCCTGGGTGGGCGCAGCTCCCTGGAATGTAACTCATGCTCAAAATCACATGGGCTACTGTAGTACCTGCTACACGGAACAAGCCGTTACCAACCATTATGCAGGAAATCAGTATGACATAATAGATATGATACTAATATTGCTAACTGCTAGGCCCACCAAATGGGCAGCAGCTGGCTGGATGAATGGGTGTATATTGAGTCAAGACCTTGACCATGGATTTGCCTTTATGCAAAATTATACCTATACCCACTAGGCACATACTTGTATTATACCTCTCTTTGCTATGTTAATAATCAATAATACTGATGGCATAAATATCACTCATGCAAAGATCCCTTGTGCAGTTAATACATCCTGCTGACTCACCATGGGACATGGAGATGAAGAATCTTCTGAATAAGATCCTACACCAGACAAGGTGTGCAATTAGCCTCATCATCGCTGGGATTATTGCCCTGGTAGCCTCCATCGCCTCTATAGCCACTGCTGCTACTCCAGTCACTTAGAGTATCCAGAATTTCTTAGACTATAAATAATTTGTCTACTGCCATGGCAGAAGCCTTTGCCATTCAAAATGACTTAAATAAATTGTCCTGAGCCACAATTTTAGTCATTTGGCAGTAAGTAGACATCCACCAGGAACAAATAGATATTCTGTTTATGTTGTAAAGGTGCACTTGTGACCCTGAATTCCACAGTTTTTGTGTCACCCAATATACTGTATCTGAAAATGTAACCTTATACTTCTCCAATTTTTCTCAGTATATTAAGGGCACTTGGGATGCTAACTATGTTACAACTATGCATAAATTTACTAAGGCAGTTGTCAAATCAATGTGGCTAAAGTATCTATTTTTACAAGTTCCTCTTTCTTCCAGGGATTGAATGAACATTGGAAAAACCTGATAGCCATATTAACTAACCCTTATAATGCTTTTACCCTGGCCCTACTGTTTATAATAGTGATAATTTTTTTCTTGTGTTGCGAGATGCTTAGGTAATCATGTAAAGGCCACCGAATGAAAAACAGCAATGCAGGATGAAGTCCTTGTAGTAGTCAGAGGTGGGGAGATGTGGGGACAAGTGCATGGAGTACTGCTTACATGGCATATGGTAGCGCGCCTGAGTGGCAGGCCACTTCCCTTGTACTAGGTGTGTTAATGGCAAACCATTTACCCTGTAGGCACAGCCCTGGGTGTGAGGCCATGTGTTGCAGTCCTGGCACTTGCTCCATGGCCAGCTCTTGATTGGCCACTGCAAGGATAGCAAGGAATTGTATTGGTGGCTGCCTGTAATCTGCCTAGCTACTGCATGACTATATATACATGGTAACTGTACAGTAAAATTAGACCTGCTTCCTGCTTGGTCTCCAGAGGTCTTGATTAGAGACTCCACAGCCACGCTGTTCTCTACCTTGTTCCATGGACCTCCTTTCAGGATGAGAGAGAGCTCACATAATATCTAACTAATATAACAGCAATGTGAGGACTGCTAAGGATGGCTTTGTTTCTGGGATGCAAAAGAAATGAAGGTAATTATGTGTCTACATGTGCATGTAAATTTGTGTGGTATGGGATATCATCTCTACAGATTAGAAATAAATCAGGCAAACTTAAAAATATAGAGTGATGGATTGAGGGGGAAGGAGATGATGAATGGAAGGTGAATGGAAGGTGAGAAAATCAAGGTAACCTGAACAGAGGACTCAAGAAGTATGACTTTGGCTGTGCCTGGTGCCACAAGTCTATAATCCCAGTGACGCTGATGTAGGAGGATTGAAAGTTTGAGATCAGCCTCAACAACTTAGTAAGGCCCTAAGCAACTTTGTAAGACCCTATCTCAAAATTAAAACAAAATTAAAGCAAGATTTAGTTTAAAAAATGACATAAAAGGGCAGGGGATATGGCTCAGCAGTAAAGCACTGCTAGGTTCAAACCCTAGTACCAAAAAAAAAAAAAAAGACTTTGAAAAAAGCTAACATGGGGTGATAATAAAAGTGTAGACTCAAGAGAGGGTTGTTTTTTAATTATATATTATAGTATATAGTATTATATATTATATTATTATATATTATATCTATTATAATATGTAGTATTATATATTATAGTATGTTAATATGTTAAAAGTTTCATGAGGAGATTCATGAGAGTAATGATTTAGGAGACAGAACAGACAAAACTAAGGCAAGAATTTACAGAAGCATTATTCAAATACCCTAAAAGTGGAAACAACTCATTCATCACTTGGTAAATGGATAAATATAGCATGGCATGTCTATACAATAGAATTTAAATTGAGCATAAAAAGAATGAGCATTGATACATGCAAATATTAAATAAAGAACAGAACCCCTTTTATAATAAAAACAAAGGTAAAATAACAGAGTAGAATTACAAAAAGTTTAAAATCTATATGAACCAATCTTTATAATATTTTCTTTGGGCCAAGGGCAAGGCACATACCTGTAATCCCAAGCTACTCAAGAAACTGAGGTAGGAGGATTGCAAGTTCGAGGCTAGCCTGGGCAATTTAGTGAGATCCTGTCTCAAGAAAAGTCTAGTGATGGTGCTCAGTGGTAGAGCTTCCCTGGGTTCAATCCCCAGTATCACAAAAACAAAACAAAAGAAAGAAACAAACAGGGGGACCCAACATGGTGGCCGGTGAGGAGGCAGCACTTTCAGTATCTCCAACATTAACGGGATCAGAAACACCCATTAATACGCTTAGATTCTACCTGCTGAGAAACTTCTAGCAAAATTCTGCTGAAAGGAGACCTGCTGGGAATTTGTAAGTTTATTAGAGGTGACAGTTTGTCCCAGACGAGTGAATCTCGGCCATGCGGCGCAGAGGTCCAGTCCTGCCGGCCGCCGCCGAACGGCCGCTGCCTGCCCATTGCAGAGAACGTTCGAATGGCAGCCGCCTGCCCGGCTCTGCAAATGACCCACGGCGGCCGGACGTGGCAAAGGGCCCCCTGCCGGGCTCTGCGAATGGCCCCACCCACACAGCAAACGGCCCCCACCCGCCCGGCTCAGGAGGCTACGTGAAGGGACTCTAACCAAGCCTGTATGAAATAGCGAACTGGGAACTAAAACCAGAGATTGAGTCAGACCAGAGAAAAGCCAGTCCCACCCCTCCCTTCGGACACTCCGGCAAGGAGCCAGGGGCCCGCCATGGCAGAGAGGGGAAGTCACCTGAGTTCGGCCAACGAGATTCCTTCCC